ATTATCATTTCTCTCTAGTTGAGACAACAAATTCACGATGAAAGCAAATTAACAGAAATATTTCGGGTGGGAAAAAACTCTGAAAGGAGTGCAACAGATTTCCCCCATCCTGGCCTTTATGACAAATTATTTCCTTTGCATCAGAATAACTTTTTTGCCTCTCTACCATGGAAAAGTCAGAAAAAGAGAACATCCTCCAAGCAAGCACAGCAAAAATTCAGGCACACACATCAGGCAAGGAGGTTGTCAGGAACTTTCTTTATCCAGAGAGGGTGTGTTGGATTTGCTACTTGACAGAGGGGTTTTTTGGGGGGTTTTTTTAGTTGTTTTTTTTTTTTTAAGAGAAAGATAAAAACATTCGGTCTTACTAGAATGAGAGAAGTCAATATTGCCTTAGAGCTTCCTCTGCTTTCTAATGGTTTTGTCTAGAAATACATTCTGGGAAGCTATTCTAATCATCAGCCTGAGAGCAGGATGTGAAGATGCCACTGATGAGAACACCCACCAATACTCAAATGCTAGCAGACTTGCAATCATTTAAAGAACTCATTAATCTAAAGAAAATACTTCGAAAGAAACTTTCATAATTAGAATTGGTGAGCAGCCAGCTATGCTGAAATGAGAGAGCATTTCTTCTTTCTCTGGTTTGACCCGAGACAACTTGACGGACGACACTGTCTTTGATGGAATGAAATGTTTTGAAATAACTTTGGGTACAGTTAAGCAGATAACGGCGTTCTTTAAGAGGGCTGTATTTCACCGACTTTCTCACTAAAAATTGGACAGGTAAACTGCACATGGTCACTCATCTGCCTGTGGTGAGCTCCTGTTCAAAGCAAACACAGGAAACGAAAGATACTGCATTATGTCTGTACCTCTTAAGGAACGGCATTGTGGTACTCAAAACAATTTATCATCTCAGCAAAACTTTCATTAACATCATCTGTTAAAAAAACTCCCGTTAACATCATCTGGCCGAAAAAGAAAGGCACTAACTCAACAGCCCAGCAGCACGGAGACAAAGGGAGCAGAGTTTGCAGCTTACAGATTGCTTAAGAAAGGGATATCTCTAAAGGACGTTGTTTTATCTGAAAGCGTTAATTTAACTGCATAGGGAGGTGTTGTATGAGGGAATCTCTTCCCTGAGAAGCTGTGTGCGACTCCTGTTGTTTTGCAAGGGATCGACGTTCATCCACCAACGAGCAAGCACCCAGCTTGTTTTTACTGGAAGGATTTACAATTACTTTTAAGTTACACAGGCCAAAAGAGAAAAAAAAAAAAACAAAAAAACCAAAACCAAACCAAAACAATACAATACAAAGATGGTTACGACTAAATGGTTCCTCGCCGCAATGGCAGCTTTAGTCTGTTTATTATTTTAAGAACAAACACGTTCTTCCATGCCAGTGCTCACTGGAAGGGGAGAAGATCAAGTAAGATTGGAAAAAAGGAGAACGTATGAAATGCTTATGCATGTTAGGAGGCTTCCAGATGAATCCTGGGAGCTAACAAACGGAAAGCGATGCACTGAGTCCTGCTATCCCACCACTCCTTCAGCAGCAAGTGGCAATTGCAGAAATCACAGAGTTGGGGTTGTTCAGCCTGGAGAAGAGAAAGATTCAGGGAGACCTTAGAGCAGCTTTCTAGTATCTGAAGGGGGTCTACAGGAAAGCTGGAGAGGGACTTGTTACAAGGGCATGTAGTCATACGACGAGGGGGAATGGCTTTAAACTGGAAGAGGGGAGATTTAGATGAGATATCAGGAAGAAATTTTTGCCTGTGCGGGTGGTGAGCCCCTGGCGCAGGTTGCCCCGAGAAGCTGTGGCTGCCCCATCCCTGGAGGTGTTCAAGGCCAGGTTGGACGGGGCTTGGAGCAACCTGGGCTGGTGGGAGGTGTCCCTGCCCAGGGCAGGGGGGTTGGAACTGGATGATCTTCAAGGTCCCTTCCAACCCAAACCATTCTATGATTCTACAGTTCACAGCGTGCACAAGCGGAAAATCCGTATTACTAGTTATTTACACCCCAGGGAAGCAGAGAACACACATTACACAGCACTCCCCCACGGACATGGTTTGCACCATCTCTCAGGTGATACGTATTCCCCCAAGCCATCATATCTGGTCACTTTACCGCTTCACTATATTTATCCCCACTTTTTAAGGCTCTCAGAAAAGACTGAGGGAGGAGCACAGAGCTGACCCAAACACACCTCGGTGTCACGGCAGTGCCTTAATGCCTAAACCTGCTCTTTAAACACAGCCTCATCCGTTGATTCTATTGCTTATTGATCCACATATTTTCTGACTTTCAATAAGGATAAATCAGTTTTGTTACTCATTTATTTCACAGAATCACAGAATCACAGACTGGTCAGGGTTGGAAGGGACCTCTGGAGATCATCTAGTCCAACCCCCCACCAGAGCAGGGTCACCTACAACAGGTTGCACAGGACGGCGTCCAGGCGGGTTTGGAATGGCTCCAGAGTGGGAGCCTCCACCACCTCTCTGGGCAGCCTGTGCCAGTGCTCCACTACCCTCAAAGTAAAGAAGTCCCTCCTCATGTTAAGATGGAACTTCCTGTGTTCAAGCTTGAGCCCGTTACCCCTCGTCCTGTCACTGGGCACCACTGAAAAAAGACTGCTCCCATCCCTCTGGCACCTCCCTTTAAGTATTTGTAAGTATTAATAAGATCACCCCTCAATCTTCTTTTCTCTAGACTAAAGAGAAAAAAGTTACTTTTCTTTGTTTATTTTTTGAAGTATTCTCTCTGGTTTCAGATTTTTTAATTATCATTAAACGCGTGGCAGTCATATGGCATCGTTCTCAACTGGGTTCCAAGTCAGGTGTGGTGGGTAGTCACAGACTTGGGGAGTCAGCCACAAAGACAGGAAAATGCCCAGAAAAAGATCAAGAGCTGCTGAATGTAAGGTAGCATCCATGGAATGAAGCACATACAATAAAGGCATGTTCAGATAAATGCACAGTGAAATTTAGTGAATTTTAAAGGGAATAAATTTAATCTGAGCTCTAACGATGCTTGGAGACAACCTTATATTTCTTTCTGGGTAAGATTAGGGGTTATTGTCTAATGCTGGGATTGGTAGTCCACCTGACAGAAGATGTGAACTCCATTTACCAAATGCTTTTCCTGCAAGGCTTAGATGCTATTTCAAGTAAATACTCTTTTCTCCTCAGCTGCTGTGTGAAAATTCTGATACACAGCAACAAAAAAGAGATGAAATAAAAAGCAGCAATGAGCTACAGGCAAAGTGCTAAGAAATACATACACAAAGTAAAATCAAAACTCTGATATGAATTTGTCTCGTATTTCACTCCTAAACTCAGCATCGCTTTTAGTAAAGATAAATCAACCAAGACCAGAATACAGATTTTTTTTCTAAAAGATATTTCTTCCCCTTTAAGAGAAATAATAAGGGGAAAATCATAGCAGGTAGCAATGCATTGGGGCTAGAAAGGAGCTATGCTTCATTTACTGAATGTGTTGTTCCTCATTGCGGTCCCTTCTCCGAATTAACAGGGCCACACAGCAGAGAGGAAGAAAGAAAAAAGTCACCTCAAATGCTTTAATGATATTTTGTTCAACGTCTTGCAGCTCCTAGGCATCTCACAGGCACGATCTTCTATAAATAAAAATCTGAGGGCATATTATTATTATGCTATGACTCATGGAATTTGTATCTGAAGGGAGCTAGGGACTTTGGCTCTTCCTCTGGGCTCGCCGGTGCTGTCTGCTGGGTCAATTAAAATATCGAGATTTCTTTTCACACGAAGCCTTTCCTCTCCCTTTGCTTATTTCCAGTGTGTGTTTCCCTCACATCTCCCCTTCACAACCTCATCACCATTGTAAATCACAGCAAATTAATGTCGATGCGATGTTCCCGAAGCAAGACTGCTTTTGCCTCTTGACAACAAAACCCCTAAGCCAAATGTCAAAAATTCAAATGGAAATACAATATTACAAATAAATCTGTGGACATCTCTTCACAAACTCCTGCGGACCTAGGCTGATGCAATGCTCCCTCCCTGACCCCCAGGACAGAAATAGCTTCTAATTCTTTGTCCTGCTGAAGACTATGATATGTTGGGCAATAAGAAGCAAACAGGGGTTACGGCTCTCATAAAATATTCACACCACTGGCTCTTTATACAGCAGTTTCTCCTGAGTATGATTAATCACATGCTATTATTAAAAGTTCCTATAGCGTGGGAGTTTATGTTTCCCTACCATTCACAGATTAGATTATAGAAAATTAGTTTCAGATGAACTGTTCGGTTCAGGTAGATTAATCCACTCTGATGATGCCTATCAGCCAATCAAATTCCTTCTTCAAACCAACTGGCCATGTCCCTGGGGTTATCCAGAAAGCGATAAACAACCGGGGAGAGTTTCCTTCCACCTGGCAGCAATTGTTCTGCGAGCACTCTTCTCTTACTTTTATCTAAGACAGACATTTATCCTGCTATTTAGTATAATTAAAGCATAGGTACTAATCTAAAGCTCCTACCCAGGGAGCAGTTGTCTGATGGTAGCAGATTCACAGCATGCACAACAGCCTTAATTTCAATAACACGTTCAGCTGATGAGGAGGAAGAAAAGGGTGAAGTAGGTCATGACATCTCCAGGAGCTCAGGATGTATTCACTGCCAAGACAGTGTGTTCAGGGCATCAGAACGGGCAATGCCCACAAGACACGGTGTCCTTTGGTGATCATTCGTCTCCGGTTTGGACAGGAGAGCGGCTGCATGTTCACAATACAAAGGGGCACCATGCAACCCTTCCTCCAGCCGAGGGGCTTGAGCTCAGCACAAGAGCCACTGCCTATTTGAAGCCACCACTAATTAATCTCATACATTATTAGAAATGACCAGAAATACGTTTGGAAACATAAGACACCACTATGTGAACATTGCTATCCTGTCAGATTAGGATTCAATTAATCTTCCAAGATAAAGTTCAATAGTTTGCCAGCTCAACTTACCTCTTACGATGATGTTGGTGGACTTTTTTGCAGGGTTTCCAACATTGTTATTGGCAATGCAACTGTACGTGCCAGCATCTTCTGACGTGATGGCAGGTATCGTTAAAGTGCCGCCGTTCAGGACTGTCTTCTCAGGCAGGACGCCGGCAGACCTCACCCACGTCAGGCTGGGGGTTGGCTCCCCTCCCGTCGTCACACAGACTAAGGTGATGGCTTCTCCAGGGTTCACCACTATCGGGTCATCCACAAGAAGCTTAATTGAAGGGGACGCTGCAAAACACAAGAGGAAGAGAAAGGTGTAGCGGGGCTACGTCTGTGGTATTGCTCAGTCCTGAGAACCACGCTCTAGCCAACCGAGATCAGCAAAGGCAGGTCAGCTCCAGCACTCTTCAGATGACTACGTGCCCTCTGGGAAGGGTGCTCCCCATCCTGATGCTCTCCCTGACACCACATTTCTCACCCTGCTCTGCACCCTGCTCAGTCGTCATCTTTCACCTTGCTGTCAAGCTGCGGCTGAGGATTTACCTACGGACAACCCCGCGGCTGTGCTCGGGAAGTAACGTGTAATGTGAGGGACAGGTGCCAGCACACTGGATTTTACACACAGGAAGAAAGGAATTAGAAACAATCTTCTTATTTGGCATGGAAAGCATGTTGTTCTCTTCAAGGCAGATCCTACCCATTGAAAACCAGCCCTCTTCATCCACCCGCCTCCCCGCTGCACTCCTTGGGACTTGGCTGCCAACTGAGATCAATTTGTAGAGTTTGAGTTCACAGAATTCACAGAATGGTTAGGGTTGGAAGGGACCTTTGGAGATCATCTAGTCCAACCCCCCTGCCAGAGCAGGGTCACCTACAGCACGTTGCACAGGACAGCGTCCAGGCGGGTTTGGAATGTCTCCAGAGTGGGAGACTCCCCCACCTCTCTGGGCAGCCTGTTCCAGTGCTCCACTACCCTCAAAGTAAAGAAGTTCCTTCTCATGTTAAGATGGAACTTCCTATGTTCAAGTTTGTGCCCATTACCCCTCGTCCTATCACTGGGCGCCACTGAAAAATGACTGCTCCCATCCCCCTGGCATCCTCCCGTTAAGTATTTGTAAGTATTAATAAGATCCCCCCTCAATCTTCTTTTCTCTAGACTAAAGAGACCCAAGTCCCTCAGCCTTTCCTCATAAGAAAGGTGCTCCAGTCCCCTAATCATCTTTGTTGCCCTTTGCTGGACCCTCTCCAGCAGTTCCCTGTCTTTCTTGAACTGGGGAGCCCAGAACTGGACACAGTACTCCAGACGCGGTCTCACCAGGGCAGAGTAGAGTAGTAGAGTTGTGTCTGTTGGATCAGGAAGAGTCATCTCCCTTGGGACAACCTCTCCTTGCACACAGAGAAAATGAAGAATCCGACACGGGTGGTTTTTTCCCCCCGGCATGGGCTGTGCAACCTGCAGCCCACAGCACCCGTGGACAGCGTGGCCACGGCCCCATCTCCTCACAGACACCCGGGGGAGGTGCAGACTAATTTCCACCCAATTTCCTATGGCCAGCTGGCAGGGTCTTTCTTTGGGCAGGACGCCCAAACCAGCTGAACAACACTGCAGCACAGGCTAATGGCCAGATGCCGCTGCTCTCAGAAAGGAGAAGCAAGTGATTAAATTTCATTCTGTCTTCTTGCCTCTTCGTTTCCATGAAACATTTGCACATGCTATAAGTGGAGCAACAGCAACGCTCAGTAGGAAGGGACAGGGCAGGGCAATTCATTTTCCGTGCTGGAATTTAAAATCACAATGTGAGCTGTGCCATCCCCTGTCATTTGCATTGAGGGATCCACCCTTGCTGGATTCGGATTTTACGTGAAGGCATAGCCTCAACCACATAAACGACGAGCTGATATATGAATACATACTGCTAGTACAGAAAAAGCAGCAATACTAAATAAACATAGGAATAAAGGTGAAGGAGTGAAATCCTGGGCAAAGAATACCAGAAAACGTGACAATGAGGAATGAGAGGAAATAAAAATGTTACATCCAAAAATCATATCACTATCCTCATTATTACAGAGATATATTCTTGTGTGCTCTGCTTTGTATTTGAACCTTATTTCAATATTAAAGGAGTACACACTAATCACTAAAGGCAAATACAAGAGTCAACTATAAAATAAGAGTTTTCTTTATTTGGAGTTCACCCAAGAGGAATTAGCTTTCTTGGCATTCAGAAGCTGGAGGACGCAAATGGGAAATGCTTCTTTTATACCTGTCCTGCCACAGGCAACCCCCAACTGGGGAAACACTTCAGGAGAGCAGAGGTTTACAAGCAAAGCCCCCTCTTCCAGCTCCTCACGGCTTGGGACCCCGCAGATACTTCTCAGTATAAATTCCTGGCTTCCTGTGACCAATTTAAAGGCGAAGAAATTGGGTGCATGGCTAAAAATACAGACAGAAAACAAATTGGCGCTGCCTACTATGTCAGCGTCTCTTTGCTCACGTCCTCTGACCTCATATTCTTTCCTCAGTTGATGCATCCATCAGCTGATGGGCCCCCGTTTTGGGATTAGAGGTATGAAACCGGGCAGTATGTCATGATTCATGCTCAAGTAGATTTTGCTTGGGTGAAGGCAGCATACGCAGGGATCCAGGTACCCGCTGTGCAACTAGAACTGAGCTCCACACCTGTAGGGTCATGACCAACCACGGGGTAGCAATCAGCTGGTCCTTCTTTCTCTCTCCCTCCCTCCTTCCTGACGTTAATGATTTTTCCTGAACAACTCTGGCAAGGAGCTGCTCTCCGCTCTCACCGAACATCAAGTCATGAGACAGGGAACAAGAGAACCACAAATAATGCTTCAAAACTTAGAACAAAAGATGAAAGCTCCAACAATGTCAACCCAACCTGGTAGTGCTGTTTACCATAATGGCCTCATAATCCTCCAGATGAAAGGGGGGCCTTTGCCATCCTTCAGGTAGGGAGACAAAGATAGCAGCTGATGTGATAAAAATGCTGTGATACATCCCTTTCATCACAGCACTCAAAACAGCAAGTACATGAAAATTATGGTTTGCGTACAGCAATTTCTCTTTGCTTACACCACACATTTCACTTAACTACAACCTATCCCACTAGACAAACACAAACAAAAATTCAGCAATATGCTCAACTATTACCACTACAAGCCTGATTTAAACCAAAGAATATTAAGAAATTCAGAAGGGATGTTAAGGTTTCCAGCAAATGAAACTCAGTGTAGCATACAAAGGGTCAAATACCTATTACGAATAGAATATGAATCCACAGCAACAACGGGTTATTATTTTGATATTTCTCTGCTTCAAACCCTACACATAATCTGCACCATATTGCAATGCACCGATAACACAGAGCCTCTTATTTTCAGCTTTATTGTGCAACTGAGGATAGAATTGGATCTACCGCACCACTTGCCCAACTTATTGTCACGTGCACGTTGCCAAATTCTGGCCTAGGAATGGAGAGATTGGAAGCTTCCTGGCGGTCACTTGGACTTTGTCCTTCCACTGCTGAAGCACGCTCAGCCCCACCACCAGCCCCACACTCGCCCAGCTCTGAGAGCGCAGCCTCCAATCCCAGTGCAACCACCATTGACCTCTCCCTCCTTCCAGCCAGGAATGGGGAAAGGTGGCAGTCAACACCCATCCGCTCATGTGCCAAACACGAGCTGGAGACCCATCGCTTCTCGTCGCAGCTCTGACTGTTTCAGCAAGGAAAAGGGAGAGAGAAAAAGAGAGAAGCAGGGAGAGTTAGCCAGGGAATGAAGGAGGCAAACAGTAAAAATCCCAAATGCTCAATAACTCCAGCGATGGGCTCAGACACGGTGGGGTGGCAGAAAAATGGCTTTAGCTCTAACTTAGAGAGGGCTTGTGTTCACTTCTCAACATCAGCCTGGACCTAGATGTGGCAAGGAATGGGGCTAAATCACAAGTTTAGTCCCCTGCTGGAAGACCTGTATTAATTGACTTGGGTTAATTAACAGCATGTAGGGCTTCTGCACATCTGCTTTACTGGATTGCTCCTCTGTTTGACTCATCCAGAAATGCTTTCTCCTCCCAAATCAGAGGAACACCTCTACTGCTCCTCACAGGACGCTGCAGCAATGCAGCTGCCAACAGCTGCCTCTCCCACTGACTGGGAATGCAAAGCTGTAGCACAGAAAGGAGTAACGAAGGCACAACGACAAAACTCCATGTGACAGTAGGGACAGTGAGCCCAGGACTGGGCTGCTCAGGGTTGCTGTTTATATTAAACATTAGGAAGAAGTTTTTCACTTTAAGGGTGGTGAGGCACCGGAACAGGTTGCCCAGAGAGGTTGTTGAGGCCCCATCCCTGGAGGTGTTCAAGGCCAGGCTGGACGTGGCCTTGGGCAACCTGGGCTGGTGGGAGGTGTCCCTGCCCAGGGCAGGGGGGTTGGAACTCGATGATCTTCAAGGTCCTTTCCAACCTAAACCATTCTATGATTCTATGATATCTCTCCCCCAGGTTTTCTGAGCAAACATCTGTTAGAGAATGTTTAGGAGTAGCTGTGTTTGAGCTAGGGGAACGGAGCTCACTATCGTGTGAGATCTCGCCCAGTTCCAGTTTCAATGACAGTAAGAGGTACTGCCCAAAGGCAATTCCTCTTATCTACCTCGAGCTATCTTCTTGCAAGAATCTTCCCCTGTGGTATTCGTCTTTCTGCTGACGGCAGACGGAGCCCAAAGATTAGTTTAATCTAGACAGGTAAGACGTAGATGGCAGAAGATGGGTGACATCAATCCTACCTTTAGGATGAGGATTTACAAACGCATTGGGAGCCTATAGATGGGAAAGGGCAGAAAGTGCCATTTTTAACAATATACATGTGCCAAACTTACAGTCATCCCAGTGTTTCGCAAATCCTCTTAGAGCCTTGCACTTTCAGAAAACTGAAATTTTGACCTAATCCTCTCTCTAAAATGGATTTCTTTTCTCTTTTATTTATTTGTAAACTTTTGGGGCTAAACACCACATACAGCATAAATCTCAACTCATAAATCCATCGCCACACTTTTTTTTGGGTCCAGCACGATTAAAAAATGGAGTAGGCATTTATAAAGATGACAAGATGATCCAGAGCAATTATGATAGTTGATGATTATACCAAAATGTTGTTGAAGGATTATTAAAACTCATGCTTCAGGGCATAAAATGGTATCTTCTTCTGGAAAGGGAGGGCAGACTATCACATATCTGTCTACTGCACACTTTCCATGCACTCTTCTGAAA